CTCCCTCCCTCCCTCCCTCCCTCCCTCCCTCTCTCTCTCTCTTTCTTTTTTTCTTTTTTCTGTACCAAAAGCTGCTACATTGGTAACACAGAGCAAGGTGTGGCCTAGACGCCCCACAGACTAGCACTTGGCACCCACTTCCCACAGCCTGTGGTTTGAACAGTTTGGGAACGTCATTCTTGGGGTCACTGCTTCCCTCCCTCTGCCCTCCCCATTACTAACCCCTGAAGTTACACCTGCTAGGCAAGTGGCGTTCTGTGACCCAGCCTCAGGCCCATTTCACTGACTTTGTTTAGGGAAAATAGTTTTCTACTTGTGTTTAAAAAATACAAAAGCTACTTGAGTGCTCCTAGCTTCTGGTCCTACCTGCTCCTCTGCTCTTCTTTCCACTGCTCTGAGCTTCTCTCTGGCAGGCTTCAGCTCTGCTGCTGCAGGGAACATTCTAGAACTACCCTCCAGGCAGCTGGCGCACAACACCCTGGCAGGGCTGTCCCACAGATGAGGCCAGCCTTATCCACAGGTACCCCCTGGGTGTGCGGCAGGACGGAGGAGGGTCCCCCGAAGTTCTTGGTGAGAGGAAGTGGCCAGTCAGAGGGCAACAAGACAGGGGCTAGGGGGAGGTGAGCCAGCAGGATTGGAAGCTGAGGCTGCCCTCAGCTCTGTCTTAGCCCTCACAGCTGGTGCAGGGGGGTAAAGAGAGCAGATCTCTTAATCATGGGTATCTCTCTCCAAGAGGAAACTTCACTGGAGGGCTTCACTTCCCGTGAAAAGCGTATGTGGTTTCTGTACTTGGGCTCAACTACCAAACACAGGCTTCCTGGGACCCCCGGGACGCCCTCCCCCAGCCTTCATCTGCCCCAACCCCCGCTTCGTGAGAGTTAGAGGGGCGAGAGAGCTTGCTGCCTTACCTCTGGAAATCTTGCTCCTCTGACTGCTCACAAGGTGAACCGTGTTGAGGAACCTGGGCCCCAGGAGCCGAGGAGAAGCTTGAGGGTGGACAGTGGCCAGGCTTGCTTCACGCCCCCTGCATCTGAAGCACTTGCCCCCATCAGAGCAACCTCAGCACTGTCCCCTGAGTCCCTGGGACTGTGCTGATCCTGCTAGAGTGACCCCCACGATCCACTAAGTATTCATGTTCTCTGTCCTGTATGTATCCACATGACAACATGGCTTCTTGAGTCTGAATTGGCTGAAACTTTAATTTTCAATTGGTAAATTGGGAATTAAAAAAAAAAATCTAACATCTTCATTTTTGCCCCTCTCTCCCATCTTTACTTTTTAACATCCTTTTGGGGGTGGGGGATATCTGGGATCCCTGATAATACCTTAGCTTGATCCCTGGGCTGGGAAAAGGTGGTGGGGGCAGGAAGGAGAGACCCAAACTGTCTTCCAGGTCTCTCCTTGAATTCTGCTGTGTCCTTGGCAGGGGCAGCACTGTGCACGTGTGAGGGAGGGGCTAAAGCCAGTAGTGAGGTCGTTCTCTTTCTTAACTGAATGATAATTCTGTAAAAGTAATTGGGGGGAGGGTGTTCAGGGAGTATGTGTGTGTGCGCGCGCGCATGTGTGATTTTGTTTTTGTTTTTTACAGTGGCTGTCTAAAGTATTTTCATGATATGTTTAACACGTAGTGCTTTAAAAGCAGTGGTATCCTATGCGCTGGGAATCCTGGTTCCAGAGATGTGGCCCACCTTGGTGGGTGAAGGTCCCACCCAGGAGGCAGGGGTAAGGGCTGGGGTCAGAAAGGCCTGTGGACCCACATCCCAAGCAGCACCACCTGGGCATTCATTTCAAACAGGATACAGTATTTTTTTATAACAGAACCATCCTTTTTTTTTAAAAAGAGTTTGACACCTGAATGTGATTTCTAACTATTATTAGACGTTAATGTTTTAAAGCTATAACAAAGTGGAAATTTTCTACTTCTTTTTCATCCATTTGAACTGTTCTTTTATCTATTCAATTGTTGTATGTGGCTGGAGAAGCTCTGTTTTCTCCTCTTAGCATTTGTTTCTATAACCAGAAATAAAAATTATATATTAAAGAGATGTACCCAAGGGTGTGAGTGGTCCCTGTGAGTGGCTGACTATGGGGGGCAGACAAATTAACAGATGCCCTGGTCCCTGCTCCCGGCATCGAGAATTGACCCCCAGGTGTTTCAGAGGAGGCAGGGAGATGACGGGGACTCTGCTTCCTTCAGGGTTTCCTGGGTGACCAGTCCAGGAAGAGATGGGATCAGGGAGAGTCCTACAGGTGTCGTCATCTGAGGACATGGGTCCCCTGTGAGTCATCTGAGCCCCAAGGATATGGAGATGGTTCACAGACAGCAAGGGAGGAGCTAGCCAGTGTCTCCCTGACTCATGACACAGGTCCAAAGCTGGGTCAGGGTGTGTCTCCAGGTGTCTGTGTGTCTTGTTACTCGTCTGTTGCTGTGAGGAGACACCATGACACAGGCAACTTACTAAACACAAAGAAGGCGTTTAGTTTGCGGCTAACAGTTAAGGGGGTTGGATGGGGCTCACATGGCAGGGAGCACAAACAGACATGGCGTGGGAGCAGTAGCTGAGAGCTAACTGGGAAATGGTGTGGGCTCTTAAAACCTCAGAGCCTGACCCAGTGACACACCTCCTTCCAACAAGGCCACGCCTCCTAATCCTTCCCAAACAGTTCTACCAAAGGGGACAAAGCATTCAAGTATATTAGCCACTGGGAGCCATTATCATTCAAACCACCACACCATGGCTGCCTCAGTGGCCCTGGCAGACATCTGACACTCAGCCAGGTGAGAAACTCTTCATTTCTCTCCTTTTCTGTGTACATGTGTGCATTTGTATGGAGGCAGAGGACAACCTCGGGGGTTCCTCAGGTGGTGTATGTGTGTTCACATGTGGAGGCACAGGCATGCACTGGCCACAGGAGGCGTAGGCATGTCAGAGGACAACCCTCGGGTACCTGCCCTCACCTTTCCACCTTGTTTGAGACAGAATCTCTTTGCCACTGCGTAAGCCAGGCTAGCAAGCCCTGTAGTTTCAGGAGACTCTCCTGCCTCCTGCCATCTGCTGCAGGTGTGCTGGGATTACAAATGCTTACACTATTGTGCATAGCTTTTACACGGACTCAGGGGACCCAAACGCTGATTATCCTTCTTGTGTGGCAGTCGCTTCCATGCACTGAGTCATCTTCCCCGCCCCACCTTGTCCTTTGAGACACGGGCGCTCACTGGCCTGGGACTTGCCAAATAAGCTAGGCTGGCCCACCAGCAAAACGCTGGGATCCACCTGTGTCCGCTTCCCCAGTGCTGGATTACAAGTGTGTGCTTTATTCTTACATGGTTCTCATGCTTGCAAGGAAAGCACTTACCAACTCTGCTTCTGCCCATTTATCTGACACCTTGCTCATTCTAGGTCATAGGCACTAGGCCAGACAGACAGACATGGGTCCAAGTTCCCACCATGACAGCTCCTCAATCTACCTGAACACAAGTGAGTGAGTGAGTGAGTGAGTGAGTAAGTGAGTGGTGTGGGGGCCTCCTCATCTCAGAACCCCAGGCTAGCAAGACACTGGGTGCCTGACAGAATTCATAAAAATGTGTCTGTCACACAGGTGTGTGTGTGTGTGTGTGTGTGTGTGTGTGTGTGTGTGTGTGTGTGTGTAGTGCCTGGATATTTTTATGTGGTGCTGGGAACTCAAGCTCTGGTCTTCATGCTTGCATAGCAAGCAATTTACTGACTGAGCCATTTCTCCAGCATACACACACACACACACACAACTATTTTCCACTAATGAGACCTTCAAACAACCTGTTACAGATTTTTTAGAAACAGATCAAATATTATGCATGGTAATGTTGTTTACCAGCTGTGCATGTATGTGTCGAGAAAGGGGAAATGATGAACCCTTGGCACACTGGTTTGTCTTGCTGAGGATGGAGCCCAAGGCCTCACACAGGCTAGGCAAGCACTCTACCACCAAGTCACGCCCCTAGCCCCTCACTGGGGGATTCTAGACAGGCACTCTACTGCTAAACTATGTGCCTAGTCTTCTCTCCAGGCCCAGAACCTTCCACTAGCAGTTCCGGAATCAAAGGGAGCTGTTCCGGGGCCAGGAGATCTGGGTTCCAAGAACTGCGGTTCCAGGGTTCCTTGGCTGACGGCTGACATGGATATGTGCCCGGGAGCTGGCCCGGAACCGGCTTCCTTACAGCAACTGATTGGCCCATGGCCTCCGCCCCGCCCACCTGACGCAATACCGGAAGTCTGTCTTTCGCTAGCAGGGTCCTCCCACGAGATGTGGCACCGGAAGCCGGCCGCTCGTGCTTCAAGTTCTCCCACGTGACGCAGCCGGGGCGTGGGAGGGATGTGCTGGGGCGGGAGGGAGGAGTGAGAGCGAGACAGACGTCGTTCGGGCACATGACACATCATGTGACACGACCCGGAAGTTCGCGACACGCCTTGGGCACGGGTGGCCTCTAAGCTGCATCAGGATGTTCTCGGCGGGCGCGGAGAGTCTGCTGCACCAGGCCAGGTCTGCAGATCTGGGGCCGGGGCCACGGGGCGAGACAAAGCTAAGGAGGGGCGGGGTGTCTGTGGTCCCGCTGCGCGGCTCGGGTGCCCGCGTAGCGCCGGGTCCCGGCCTCGGGACGCCTACGTGGAGTGTAAGTTGCACAACCCAACTAAGAAGTCCTCCCCATCGTGTCTGGTGCCAGGCTACGCTGGTCCTGCACTGAGCACCCTAGGTTGCGCCTTCCTTCCCAACTAGCGGGTCCAAGACTTGATGGCATTTGATCAGATGAAGGGAGTGTCTGCCAGAAGCCCAGATCTGGTGCATTTGGTAAACTTAAAAAGCAAAGGGACAAATCTGGACTCTGAGCTTGGGCCACTTGTGAGAGATTAAAATGTAGATGAGGTCTCTGGGATGTAGGGGAACAACAGCCTGAAAGAGCGTTCAAGTCTGGAGTCTGCAAACAAGACAGAACTCCGAGGAGGGCTCAATGGGTGAACGCCCTTGCAGCCAAGCCTGACAGCCTCGGTTCGACCCCTGGAGAAAATCAACTCCCTCAGGTTGTCTTCTGATCTCCACTCGAGCGCCCCCACATGCACATAAAGAAATACATGTAACAAATTAAAAACAAAAACAAAAACTCCCAAGATCTGTTAGAAAGTGTTTGGTGACCGAGCCACACAGTCTGCCCGCCGGCCCACACCGCCCTCCTAGCAGAGGGCATAGTTTTCATTTTAAGCAGTGTGTTTCATGGAGACTTTAGTCTTGGTCAGCATGTCACCTCATGCCAGCACGAAAATAACATTTCCCACTCAGATTCTGCTCAGGATCATGGGGCAGGTGGATGAAAGGCACAAGGACTCATTGAAATGATTTTTGTCCTGGGAGGGGTCCCCAGAAGCAATGGGGAGTTGTGGGAAAATTGGGTCGGCATTTTAAAGCTGTACTGAAGCTGTAACCACACGGTGCAGAGTATCTCTAGTTTGGTCATTTCATTCTCTGACTCATAGTTTATCACTGTGCCCGGGTTAGGGGTATCTCCCTTTCCTCACCCAGCCTCTTCTGTGGTACCTTATATGACTCTGGGTGGAGGATGTAGAAAACAAAGTAGGCTAGGGTGGTGGCGAAGTCGTTGGAGATCATCCTGCAGCCTTCAAAGAGACTAGGACGTGCAGTAGCTGCAGAGAGGCAGCTACCTGTCTGTTTTTGGTTCCCAGATGCCAAACAGCTGACAGGTCCAAAACGGGGCAGTGTGCAAACTGCAAGTAAGCCCTGTCTGGAGACCACAGTGGGCTGTCAGCCATGGTTAGGAAGTCGGAGGCCCCTCATCCAGTAATTTTTTTTCTCTTTTTTTTGAGCGGGGAATAATTGAGACAGAGCCTCACTGTGTGGCCCCAGGAACTTGCTTTGTAGACCAGACTGGCCTCAGACTCAGCAGAGATCCACTTGACTCTGCCTCCCCAATACCTCCGCACCAGGCAATTCCTTCATCGTGGGTCTTTATTTTGTGGTGTTGGGGATGGACCCCAGGGCCGCATGGTCTAGACAAGCGCCCTTCTGCCCTGCTGCAGTCCCCGCCCTCCTTTCCTTGCTGTTAAGCTTGGGAGAGAAGCTGAGAAACTGATTTCCACACTGGTGCTTAGTTTAGTCTCAGCATTGCGAGTTAAGCCAGCAACATACTATATCAGGCTTATCTTACCCCCTGCTGTAACCTTTGCTCTGCAGTGTAGCTTCTAGATTCCCTTTTCAAAAGCCGGAGGGAGGCTCACTGAAGCATGTCTGAAAGGCAGCTTGAGCTCAGAGGTAATGGAGCTCAGAGGTAGAGCGAGTGCTTCCTTATCATGTGCAAGGCCCTGGCTTCAAATCCATCACTGCCAGTGAAGGTGGGGGCTGGGAGACGTGGGTCGTGGTCGTGCACACCCATACATCTTGGGAGGACAAGGAAGGAGGATGAAGAGTTTGAGTCTGGGCTATGTAATAAGTTCAGCCTGGGCTATATAGCAAGACTCTGGGGAGGGAGGGGACTTAGACTAAATAGTTTTGACTTTTGAGAGGCCCATAAAAACCTTTTACTGAGTGTGTTGGCTCACTCTTGTAATGTCAGTGCTTGGAAGTGGAGGCAGGAGGATTTCTGCAAGCTCCAGGCTAGCCTGGGCTACAAAGTGAGGCCCAGTCTCAAAACAAAGGGGGGGAAAAAAAAGAAACCCTTAAAGTAGTGTTTTCTTTTTACCATTGGAACAACAGAACAAGGATGGATGAATCATCTTTATTAAAGGGTGTCACTAGGAAACTGGGGGTGCCGCATCTCAGTTCCAGGGGAGGATCCTGTCTACACTCCAGTTCCTGTAATCCTCCCTCCCAAGCACTGTGAGCCTGGATGGCTCTTCCCTACTTTCTCTGTGCTGGTTAGGGATAGTCCCCCTGGGGGACGTGCTTGTGGCTTAGGGCAGCACCATGATCTGTGGTGGTATTTTGTTTGTGTCTTAACAAATAAAGCTTGCATGGAGATCACTAGATAACCACAGAGGCCAGGCAGTGGTGTCACACACCTTTAATCCTAGCACTTGAGAGGAAAAAGCAAGAAGATCAGGAGTTCAAGGCCACCTGGGCTACTCGAGATTGAACCAGTCTAAAAGAGAAACAGAGCCGGGTGCTGGTGCTGGTGCTGGTGCTGGTGCTGGTGCTGGTGCTGGTGCTGGTGCTGGTGCTGGTGGTGCACACCTTTGATCCCAGCACTTGGGATCTCACATCTTTAATCTCAGCACTAGGGAGGTGGAACCAGGAAGTGAAATGGCTGGGCGGAGAGAGGAATATAAGGCAGGAGGAGACGGGAGCTCAGCTTCCTTAACTAACCTTCAGTAGAGGTTAAGTTAAGTCTCTCTAGCGTCTGGCTCCTTTACTGATCTTTCAGCATTTACCCCAATATCTGGCTCCAGGTTTTTATTATTGAGACCAGTTGGGATCCATGCTACCGTGGTTCCCCTTCCTTCCTTAGGGAGATACAGGATGAGGAACTGCAGCGATTCTGCACCCGGGTCACTAAGCTGCTGCAGGAACCCCCTGGGCCAGCCACCATGGATGCCCTGCAGAGGCTCTCGCTCATTGTCTCAGCCACCAAGTACCCCCGGAGGTGAGTGCACTGTGAATCCTTGTGCATCCCCAGACAGTCCCAGCCAGCTTCCCTGGGGTGTCAGTGTACTTGCCAGAGGCCTGACGTGTCTCCTGGTGGGTCTCGCCCTCCAGGCTGGAGAAGATGTGTCTGGACCTGTTGCAGACCACCCTCTGTTTGCCCACAAGCCCCGAGCAGCTTCAGGGCCTCTGTGCCGCTATCTTGAGAGAGATGTCACCTTTTGATGACCTGGCCCTGTCCTGTGATCACACCCAAAACACCCGTCAGCTCAGCCTCGTGGCCTCTTTGCTGTTGGCCCAGGTAAAACAGTTGTCACCGTTGGGGATGAGGTGGTGTCGATGGCGGCATCTGTTTCTGGTGGTTCTGAGATCTCGGGAATACAGCAAGCTGGTCTCTGTCCCCCAGTGCATCCACTCTGCCCAGAGCCCACTCCCTTGGATGCTCTAATGACTATCTCAAGTGTGCATAGCACCCCCATACCCTTGTGCACACACCCCAGGTCTCTGTTGATAGCTAAGTCAGACTTCAGGGCCTGGCCCACCAGTGTGATGTTCCTGAGCATAGGATTCCACACTTAAAGAGCGACTGCAGTATGCTTTCCAGATGCTTTCTGGGGATCGAACTCAGGTCCCTGTGCTGCCGAAGCACTCACTTTACCAGTCCTCAACTACCTGTCCTGCTTTGAAGGGAGACAGAAAAGGAGAGATCAGATGTGTGAGCCAGCGCATCTTCAAGATCCTTGAGAACCGGCAGCCCGAGGGCCCCAGTGTCAGGCACCTCCTCCCTGTCCTGTCCAAGGTCATTGGCCTGGCCCCAGGCACCCTCATGGAAGGTAGGTACTGGACACTTCTTCCCAAAAGGCCTTCTTGGCTCCTTTCCCACAGCAACCATCATCTCGGGCGTGGCAGAAGGAGGGTTACACTGTTGGAGAACCCTGAATAGCTTCCCAGCTTGTACCCATGGTGTGGGGGGTCTGGTGAGCCCCATTTTCTCTTGAGCAAACCTGGGAACCTGGAGGCTTAACTTTCCATCACTGCACCCCTGCCCTTCCCTACAGACCAGACCAACCTGCTCAGCAAAAGGCTAGTGGACTGGCTGCGCTACGCCAGCATCCAGCAAGGGCTCCCGTACTCAGGGGGCTTCTTCTCTACACCCAGGACCCGGCAGGTGAGTGGCAGCTGCTTCAGGTTCGCAGGGAGCTGAAATCACAAAAGCTGTCACAGGCTGGGGACGAGGCTCAGTTGGTAGAGCATTTGCCTAGTGTGCATGAAGCCATGGGTTCAAGTCCCAGAACCACGTAAAACTGAGTGTGGTGCTGCACACCTGCAGTCCCAGAACCTAGGAGGTGGAAGCAAGAGAATCAGGAGTTCAAGGTCATCCTCAGCTACACAGCAAGTTTGAGGACAGAATGATGTACACAAGACCCTGTCACAAAAACAAAACAACACGACTATCTCCTCTGAGAGTGCTCATTCTCTGTCTCCCATGCATGGACACTGCACATGCCAGTATGACCAGACGTGTTCCCATGGCGGTCCTTCCCCTTGGTTCCAGTCAGGTTTCTCATTGCTGTCTCTGCCTCTGAGTAGGGAGTGCCCAGGAGGGGGAGTGTACTCTGGGTCTGGCCAGCTCCTCAGTGTGTGTGGCTCCTGCTCAGTGCCTACAGAGGAGGATGTGGACACATCTGAGCTGCAGTCGTACCGTGTGTCTTTAGGTCTTGGGGTAGGCCTGCTGGATCTAGGAGTGTGGATGCATCCTGCAGTGCAACCTTGGAGAGGGCAGGTGTGCAGGCCCCTGGGCCGTGCTGGAGCTCACAGCCTCACATGATTTCTGTACTGAGTGGTTCGTGAGCCCACCAGGCTCGTCCTCAGCCCTGTCCTTCCTCCCACAGCCAGGTCCCATCACTGAGGTGGATGGAGCAGTGGCTTCTGACTTCTTCACGGTACTCTCCACGGGCCAGCACTTCACAGAGGACCAGTGGCTGAACGTGCAGGCCTTCTCTATGCTTCGGAAGTGGCTGCTGCACAGTGGCCCTGAGGACCCAGGCAGTCCAGATGCAGGTGTGCCCAGGGTGGGACAGAGAGGGGTAGAAAGCACAAGTACACTGTGACTTGGGTGCAGGTCAGGGGTGGGCAGGAGGCAGCTGAGCCCTATAAGGACACCACAGGTGTCTATAGACCAAACAAGGAGTGTGATCAGTTCGGAGGCCAGCACCAGAGGCACTCTGAGCCCAGGAAGAGCTGAGAACACAGCCCAGCACCCTTTGCAGGCATACTGATGTCTCCACAAGGTGCTCCCAGAGAGCCAGATGGATCATCCAGGGCAGCTACTCACAGGCCTATCTGATCTTGCCCCATCTGCAGACTTGGTTTACAGACAGTCAAACTCAGCTGTCCATGGTGGTACATGCTCATGAGCCCAGAACTTGGAGGTGGAGGCAGGAGGATCAGGGAATTCAAGGCCAGTCTCAGCTACGTAGTTTGAACCCAGCCTGGGCCACAACCCAGGCTGTTTTGAGGCCCTGTCTCAAAAACACAAAACTAAGCTAAGTGTAGGGATCCGTACCTATTCTGCCGGCACCTGGGACTCTGAAGAAGAAGGATTATAGGTTTGAGACCAGCCTCAGCTACATAGCAAGACCCTAATTCATACGCTCAAAAACAAACAGAAAACCAACTAGTAACCCAGACAAATCTGTGCATGTGGCTCCGGTGACAACAGCCTCATACCCAATGACGTGAGCGACCTTGAGCGCTCCAGGAAGCTGCTGGGCCGTGTGTCTGTCCTACAGATGTGTTTTCTCCTACAGATGACAAGTCGGAGCTGGAGGGATCCACCTTGTCTGTGCTGTCCGCCACCTCCACTGCCAGCCGCCTGCTGCCCCCTCGGGAGCGGCTGAGGGAGGTGGCCTTCGAGTACTGCCAGCGCCTGTTGGAACAGAGTAACCGGAGTGAGTCCCCAGGCTACCACCACCTGGCCCCAGCCCACATTGCCCTCCAGGGTGGGGTCAAGGCAGCCGAGCTAACTGAGTATCTGATTGAAAAGAGCTGGCGGGGAATGGAGGGAGAGAGGGCCCAGCAGCTAAGAGCACTTGCCGCTCTTGCAAAGGACCTGGTTTTGGTCCCACAGGGTTTCCCAGAGTAACTACAGTTAGAGAGGATCTGATGCCCGCTTCTGGCCTCCTCAGACACCAGACACACATACATAATATGTAGAAAAAACACCCATTCACTTGAATTGAAATTAAAAATAAAATCTTGAAAAGAAGAGCTGGGGATCTCAGCTCACTGTGGGGTCAGGACAGTGTGTCCTTGTGTCTGAGGACAGGCCCTACCTGTGTGTCTAGCTCCTCACCTCTGGCATCTAGGGTCCACCCATCTTGTACACATCTTATGGGCACCAGTCCCCGACCCCCGTCTTGTCACGTGACTACTCATTGTCCTGGTCTCAGCTTCTAGGACACAGGCTGCCTTGTTATGGGGCTGTTTTGAGACAAGTCAGTTTTCTCTTTTCCAGGAGCCTTGAGGAAGGGAGACTCCGACCTACAGAAAGCTGTAAGTGGCCTGCAGGGTGGCTGGGGCAGCTGCTGCCGGGACCCCTGACCCAGCTCAGTGTCCCTGCAGTGCCTGGTGGAAGCTGTGTTGGTGCTGGACGTGCTGTGCCGGCAGGACCCCTCCTTCCTTTTCCGCACCCTCTCCTGTCTGAAGGCCCTGCATAGGAGGCTGGGTGAAGACCCTGGCAGCGAGCGGGCACTGGTGCCCCTTGCTCAGTTCTTCCTGAACCATGGTGAGTCTGGATACATGGAAAGTTTCTTCTAGGCACTCAGAGGCTCTCACATGTACAGTTTTGTTTTGTTTGTTTATTGGTGGTACTGGGCATGGAACCCAGGTCCTTCATATACTAGACAAGTGCTCTGCTGCTGAGCCACACCCCAGCCCCTCACTGGGGGATTCTAGGCAGGTGCTCTACCACTGAGCCACACCCCA